TATAAAAACAACTATTATCAAAGTCACTAACTAGCATGGATGTACAGAAAATGAAACTTAAGAAACTGGAGYACTCAATCTACAGGATTGTGAAAAAACTTGGGACAAAACATCACACCTCCATGAAGTGTTATTGAGCTAGCAGGAAAACCAGAGAGCTCAGGAGCTCAAAGAGGTAGTCAGTAAACCCAAAGCACAGCCTGGTTTCTTGGCCTTCTGTTTTCACCCAATTAGACTGAAAAGCCTCAGCAGCCAACAAATAATTGATGCCCTCTGAAGTTGCCCCATCAATCGCCTCAGTGAAAATTGTGAGAGATACAGCAAAGAAGTTCCCCAAGAGAACTGAGGACCTGTCTAAAACAGATGGAGAATAATAAGGGAAGACAATCTCTGAATAAACACCACCTCTGGATAAATCAGAAAAGCGAAACTTGGTCATCAGGTTCTTCCCTCCGCAAACAGCTTGGGAAGACCTTCCAGTGAGGTTATCATAGTTAAGCTGATACTGCTTTTGATCTTGCAGTCAGGCTCCTGGAGAGTTTTGGCTATGAAAATATGCAAATATTTCCATTGRAATGCATGTTGCATAATCAATCATRCCCAGCAGGCCTTACAGATCAACAACACACTCTAATCAGAAGGCTGCCCAGAGCTATGTTCCTGGAGAGACCAGGCAAGAAAATCATTTAGGAATGAAAATACATCACCATCTGTACTATTTCTTTATAATGATGGTCAGAAAACATGGCTGAAATTCATTTTGCCCCAGCTTTCTGTAGCTATTCTACAAAGCTCTAAAGAGACAATGGTGGAGAGAATTCTTAGAGATGTTTCATTTACTTTATTTCAATTATTACACATATTTTCCATTAAATTATAAACTAATTACTGACATTTAGCTGTGGCTTGTCCTTTAGGAGCACTTCGTACAAACTATGTAGAAAAAGTTTAGGCAGTTTTAGGCAATTAGAACATTTATCTTTTGTTCTTTTCTTCACATACAAGAGAGGACAGAAGGATTGGGRAAGAAGGAGAATGATGTATCAAGATGATAATACAAAAATCACTATATTTTGAGATAATCTAGCAGAAGATTAACAAAAGAAAAACCGTTTATTTATTTATTCAAACATTCCTACTCATCAGAGCAGTAGAARTGATGCCTGCCTACTGCCTCCTAGAACAACTGAAAGGACCTCCTCTGGCACTAATGCAGTTAAGTTTTGAAGRGTTGGTCACAACATTTCAGTCTTAAAGGACCTTTAACACCATCACCATTTTCAGACATTTTTCTCACATTTTACTCAAAAAAAGGAAACTTCATCCCCTGCTGTCCACCACCCACCTTTCTATCCTCATTCCTCTGAGAGGTGGAAACCATTCCTCATGTACCTGGCCTGCACCGGGTCCCTCCTCACATCCTCACTGTATCAGCAGTTCAGGCTTTTTCAGGTCTTTCTCAGTGACGTGCTTTGGAACTACGTTACATGATGGTAAGTAACAATGAAAACACAAATGAGCAAAAAGCCCTGTAAACTTCCACACCTCTGCCAACTGGGGACATCATCTCTGATTACATTTGTGCTTTACAGACACAGATGTCTGAAACACTGCAGACCTGGGCTTGCTTCTGCCCACCAGACAAARTGGGCAAAGATACCACTCTCTTTTCACAAAACGGCCTTTGCCTACTCAGATCCACGCATCTGGCTGTGTTTGACTGCTCCTGTTTGAACTGAAGATCAACCTGAAGTGTATTTTTCTCCCTTCTACAGATTACATCTCAATTCTCAGACATAACTGCAGTTCTAAGTTGGACCCCTTTCTCCAAGACTGCAGTCCTCCATGCATCCAAACTGACAATAAATTCAGTATTTAAAGGAAAAATAAAGAATTYGAGTTTCCTCATTATATCAAATAATTCATTTACTCAAGCTGAACAGTTTCATTATGCTTATCTGAGTTTCAGAAGCAGGAACACTATTTAGCTCAGATAMATTTTGTTCAAAATGACCAAATTAAGAAAACTGAAAAGGGAAAGAATTAATGCTCTTAACTGTAATTTCATTTTTGCATTCCAAAAATAAAAATCATTAAGAAAAAGTCATGGTCACCTCCAGTCTTAATCCAAAAGAGATTTCCAGTACAGGACATAACATAGAGAGAAATGTCTGCAGTATTTTCACAAGATGAAACAGAAAATGTAAACAACGAACTTAAAACTTGTGCATGCAATAATATACTTATTTCAGGCCTGCACTTAACATAACACTGCTACTTTAAAGAGCTGCCTTATGAAGCACCTTGAATATGTCAGGACTTTGATGATGAAGACACCTTCTTTTTTATAGCAGACAACCCAGTTCAGGTYCTTCTTTCAAATTCAACAGCAGAAGACCTCAAGCCCACACCTGCCAGGCTCCAGGTCAGTGTGCAACTGCGACCTATTAATTAGTGTGGATCTACCCCTTCTCTCCAGATATAATTGAAAAGTGTCACTTTTTCTACTGGTTTCCATTCTCCTAAATGTGCACATCAGTCGGCCACAGTTACATCTACTGTAATTTCCATGYACCTGACTACCAATCACAGAAGACACTAGGACTCAGGTAAGACATTTTCGCATTTCTAAAACTTCAGAGTGTATAAGCAATAATGAAAGCCCTGAAGCTGAACACCTCTAAGAAACATTATGTTGATGTTTTCTGAACTGCTACTTTAGATTCATTGCCTCACAAAGATTTCCATTCTTATTCAGTTAATCCTTAAAAACAYGTAAGAAGCGATGGCCTTTGTTTCATTTTCTGGTCAAAGTAAAGGATATTTTCTCTTAACATCTCTTTTGCAAACACTTTTTCAGAGCTCCTTTGGACATACTCATATACCCCTTTTAATAATGAATATGAAGTTATGACAAACTACTCTCAAAATCACTTGAATATTGTCTTGGGTTTAGTCGGATACTGCAAAATTTAATGCCATCTTTCACTTGGGCATCTGAAGTGAAATGGGTAACCTTCTCAGTTCAMCTAAGGTTTTAAAACAAAATTATTAGCAAGCCTCACTTCCATTGAACTTTCCTATGGGTTTTTTTAGTAAAGAGGGTGCATGCAGCAACAAGAAATTAAGATGATATAAAGCCCTTATTTCTTCCACGCAATTGTAAACATTATCTGATTAATTCAAGATGACCTTKCACAACTGGGTGTAACAAATCTGTGAAGGCAGGTGGATGTTCTCATCAGAAGAGTGGACAGYTGACCCAACAAGTCCTGTCAGGAGGCAAAGGGAAGAGGAATTCACCTCTGGGGAACATGCAATTATCTCAGCACAGTCCTAGGCAGAAGACTGGAAGGGTCATAGAAAGAGGCAAGGAAAGTTTAAATGCATGGAGAATGTGATTTAGAGATCAAACTCTGCTGCCAAGGAAGAGATACTGGGTACTCCCCTTCATTAAAACAGCAAATATTTAGGAAGATATTCAAGCAAATACTTAAGTGTCCTTCCTGTTAGCTGTGGAGAAATGGCCCAATAATCCGCCTCAGCTTTAAGGCAAAACTTGAGCTAGATATACGTAGCAAGAATGACCAAAATGTTTATCATGCTACTGAACTTAAACTCCAGGTTTCTTTCCTACTTCATTCTTTAATTCTGCTAATGCAGGATCTCAACCCACATATCTGAAAACACACAACATAATACAGTAATTTTTATGTTGCCAACAAAATACATGCAGAAGAACAACTTTAGAAGATACATTCATAAATGAATTTGTTTCCCATCATCTTAAGTATCCTGCGCTCACAACTGCTGCCACAATTAGCAAAGCATTAAGGATGTTTATTCATCCTCTTTTCCAGCTCATTAGGGAAAAAATATCCATYCCTCCAAGGAAGGATGAACTTGTAACTATAGAAAATGGGAGTTCAACTACTACTTCAAGAGGATTATCTGCATGAAATCACACAAAAATGCACTTAAATCCTGTACCTTAGCTGCCTGAGCTGTTAAATGGAAATGCCAACATATGGTTTGAGCAGAAGGTTAGCCTAGGTGACTTCCTGAGGTCCCTCCTGACCYAAATTTTCTGGTGATCCTATTTGCTTTGAGACACACAGGATGGATGAGAAGGGCATTCAGATATTACAGGGTTGATTACTARTGAAAATCTTAAATAAGTACCCAAACATTTTCAAGGTTTTAAWACATAGCTTTTACCACATATACATGTGGGGAAAATCCTGTGAAAATGCTCATGGACTCAGTGGTTTTTACAAGTGATATCTATGATGGCCAGAGAAAAACAACAAATCATCCCATTCTGGATGACATGCTAGAACCCTCTGGTTATGTTGGTGTTCAGAAAGCTAACAAACCGAAAAACAAGACATCTGTTTTGACTACAAATTTTTCAAGGGGCAYCATGAACCTGAAAGGCCTTTCACTAAATTACGTGCAAGTGAATTTACCAAGCAGGTTAAGCAGAAATCTTTGCAGACTGACTGATGCTAACATGAACATAAAAAAGAAAAAGCACTTGTCATCTTGCAACACAGAACACCCAAAGAGAATAAAGTGTTTGCAAGTATGACAGTAAAAAAATTTGAAAAATAAATTGCTGTCAGGTAAGATGATTCTGTGTCTAATTTAGAAGATTATTTCTCAGRGTGAAGCTGAGTGAACAATCTCTTCCTAAGACATATCCTCTTCTGCAAGTACCTCAGCTGCAGCATGTTCTAAAAACCAAAACAATGCAAAAGCAATACGAAGTCCTGCTCTGCAGATGGTCTCAGTTTCTGGTACTAGTGTTTTTAATTTACTAGCAGACCTCTCAAATAAGGAGGGTTGTGCTTGACTTTGGACTGCCTGGGCACAAACACTAGTCTTAGCAGTTCAYAGATTACCAAACTTGTATCTAATATCCCATTTAAAAAAATGGCAGGGAAGAAAAAGGAATAAAGCTTAAAATAAAACAACAAAAAAAATCCAACTCTCCTTACCTTGCTGGAGGCACATCAATATTTGAAGAAACAACCTTGCGCTTCTGCTCCAGAAGACAAACAGAACGAGTGTTTTCCTTTTCATACTCATGAGCTCTGTTTAGTTTTTTGGTCTCTGCTGTTTTTAAATCTTCCTCCTTTGTGGTGAATAGGAGAAACTGTTGGTCTGGCAGTTTTTGACTGATGTCACTTTTTACATCCTCCTGTTGAAATGCRGGGAAGGTCATTTCACGCTTGATGYTGGCTGCCTGAAAAATTGAAAGCAATTATTAAATTTTCCTCTTATTCTCCTAAAATGGAAAACAACCCAATACCCACAGGCACTTACTTCTAATTAGTTATTTGAATTAGTGAATACCATTTCTCTGCCCTTCATAAATTCTGAAACTGCCATTAATTTCTCAATAATGTTGAAGACTAGCCWGGAAAATAAGCAAATCTTGTCCATTTGATAAAGCTATCAACCTCTTTATGTTAAATCAAAAAGGTATTTGAATTAGAATGTTGGAAACCACATTGTAAACATCTCTTTAATGTACACACATCTGTGCTGCACAGCTATGCAAAAGAAATCCAAGCTGCCTTTCTCCTAAAAATTGCAGGAGAAGTCAGAATATTTCCAGATTAAAGATAACCAAGAAATTAGCTTCCCACAGCCACATAATCGATCTTTTAACAGCTGTATTAGTAAACGATGTTCTTCTCAGGAGCAGAAAAATAATTTGCTATGATCCAACTCATCTGCCGGAAGGGGAGCAAATGATGCTGGCAGAACCTCTGCGAGGAGCCCGTCAGCAGTGACAAGCAGGGACACACCCAAGAGCAGTGCCAGGTGGTTTCTTTGCCTGCCAGCACTTACCAGATCTTCAGGTCTGTTGCTTCCCATAAGCAAAGACTTCCCAAGCAAATAGGTGTCTTAACAAATACACTACCACCCTGGAACACWATATGCTGGTGTTTATAAAGCAAACTATTGCAGGGAAGACAATGAAAAGTCATCAAAACCAAGMCACTCCATCTTCCCAGCAAGCAAAACAAAACACACGACCTAGATTTTCCTGTGAAATCCATTCCCTGGCCTGCTATGCTTCCACAGTTTCATGGGGGCAGACCAATCCATCAYGCAACCTCTGCAACCAATCCAAACAGCCAAGCAAAATACAGCCCAACAAAGTGGCAGCTTCTCCCACCTTGAGCAGAGGTATTTCYACACCACATGCACTCCCATGGAGAAATCCAGGAGCCTTCTAGAGCTGGCAAACTGGATTTTAAGGTATATGTAAATTACTACTGATCTTTGCAGTGGAGATATCAAGTCATGCTCTCGTCATATAGTACCAGCACCAAACTGAAATTCCTGTCAATTCTTCCAACTTATTCCTCCTTTTCATCATTCAAAACAATTAATCAATGTATATGTGTATATGTTTATGCATTAAAATATATTCCTCTCTCCACAGATCTCTGTTTATAGATTTCAAACCTTGGCAGTTATAAAAATGGTGCAAGCAATTTTAGGTTCACAGGAAAGATATACTTGCCAAAGTAATTTTGCTTTGTTCTTTAAAGTGTATCACATCATTAACGCATAAATATTTAGGACTGATGATTTAATTGTTTCTAGTGCTTCCACTGAAGGGCTTTTAGCCGTTGCTTCAAGAACAAAACAAGAGTTATTACTTTATGAATGTAAACAGTAGAAAGAATTAATCACTTTACACTTCCTCACACACAAACAGATGACACATTACCAAGAAAATCTGCCTGGATGACAAAACAGTCAGCATGTGATCACACAGAATTAGGAGAAGACATATAAACAACATAAATTGAATTCCAATTTAATGATTATTTTTTTAAAAAACTTCTTAGATTTACAATAAGCCTTTTTTGAGCACCTGAGAATCGCTGAGAAACTGAAATCTGAATCGCCTTCAAATTTTATTAAAACTAGTGATGCACTAAAATAACAAAAAATCCTGAGAATACCCAAGTTCCGATATCCAGCCCCTAGAAACTATATAATGCCAAACTATGGTACATACAAGACTTCAATTAAGATATGTTTAGATAAAGACTGGATGTGGTGCTCAGCACCATGGTTTAGTCGATGAGGAGGTGTCAGGTCACAGGTTGGACTTGATGATCRTGCAGGTCTGTTCCAGCCTAGTTCATTCTGCGATTCTGTGAATTCCATCCCCTCCACTGCCACATGGTCTTCCATTGCATGACCACATCTCCCTTCCCCCTTGCCCAGGACTTCCACCTCATCTGGTGCTGAGGATGGTTCTYTGCAGGGTGGGAACAGCTCCACCCGCTGTGCATGGAAGGGGTGCTGATGTGCGCAAGTACGAGGAGCACCAGCAGTTGTCTCTTTACCTTCTAACAGCCCTTAATATAGAAAGTGCCAAGAGCATGGGAGAGGGGCAACCTGCCTCATTCCCTACTCTCCAACGCCAGACTGAARTCAGTTTTCATCAGGATGGCTTTATTTATTCTTTTAATGGCCTATGTGCATGACTACACCAATGAAAAAGAAAGAATTTTTGTCTTCAATTTATGAAATGGTAGGATTTTACTCAGTTTCAGCAAACGTACTGTGCCATACATTGCTGTGTTTTCTTTACAGACCTACACAGTGAGGACAGAAGGCTGCAGGCTCAGACTACAGCTGCAAACCAAAGCCTAAAGCATAAATAGCAGAATACTAATACTGTGATACCAGATAACCTATTCTTACATATCAAATTTATCCACATCCAGTTCAAACACATTTTATATGTCAATATGACAAAATTAACAGCCAGCCCCATGCAAGCACATGAAGCGAGGAAAGACAAAAACCACAGAGCAAGTACTCAAGTTGCAGAAGCAGTTCAGGTTCTTCAGCCAATGGCCCAGAAAGGCAGAACAAATCCAGTGTTCAGTCTCTCTTCCACTCCTTCCGTTTTCAATATAACCTTGGAAATATTTACCTGTTTCTAAACTTTCCCTTGAGAGTGACTGCATATAAAGAATCTTTTCTGCTTTAGAAGCAGGTGATTATGAGAGGAAAACAAGACATTTTCTTTGTAGGCTTTCTCCACCTATACAGGCGGTTTTTCTTTTTTAGTTCATCCATACCTATGGAAGCAATTTCCACTTGAGACACCTTTTGGTGTACAGGGCCTTTTGCTGGAAATGTACAGGGCCTTTTGCCAGAAATCCAACCACCTACACAAGCAGCCATTGACGCGGAGACTGCTGAGAGCCACAGTCACTTGAATGGCCAGGTTCCTCACATCCTGGCAAACACACTGATTAATGACCAGGAGTCCTCTGATTCCAAGCTCTGCTTCCCCAGCACTCAGTTCAGAGATAACACACACAATTTCTAACATATCTTTCCAGATAGTTAACTGTTCTGTCATATTTCATCAGTAACTTTATTTTTTTTCATAGATCCTTCATTTTCTCTTAGCCACCCGAGGTTTATGGTGGTCCTTTACATCTAGAATGCTTCAGCAAAAATTATGGAAGACCTAGTCCAACCTGTCTAGACCTGTCTCACAGACAGGGTAAGCCTATGTTTCAGCTTACTTCCAATACTCCACATTTCTCCATCTTTTGCTGTACTCCGATTCCATGGTTATGTTGTCCCCTAACGGTTCAGCATTTCTTGTCATCGTATCTCCAAATTTGCCACATTACTGCCTCCAGTATCAACTGCTGATAAAACTCATGTCTTTTTCATGCACTTAATGAATTATCACTCATACAAGCCACTTGATAATAAGCTGCTTTTCTATGCAATTCATGTTGTATTTTCACCCTTAAACCATTAGCAACCTTCAGCTTACTTTCAACAGTGTTCTTTACAACCTGGCCTCAGGCAACCAACATTACTTGGAAGTTCAGCCACAGAAGCAGCAGTTATAAACCACCTGTAAATTTTAAAAACTAGCTTTATTTTTCTCTGCAGTTATCCTCACCTGCCTTTGACAACTCCCATCACTATTGGGCCTTTGACAACTTCCATCACTATTGGGCAAGGGAAACTTTTGATTCTCTGCTTCTTGGAAACACTGGTATTACCCATGCTTTCCCCWTTGGAGCTCAAGGATGGGGCAGTGCCAGAGCTAGTGTCTGGTGTGGCATTACTCCTTCAGTAATCATCCTGCAAAAACTGAAAACCATTTCTTGCCTTGGTTTCTAAGTAAAAACTTCATTAAAAATGCCTTTCAATTTCTGTTTCAAAGTTGTCAAGACAATGCTATATATTTAGATTGAGGGTTTTACTTTTAAGTTAAGGGTTTTACTTTTAAGCTTGATTCATTATTATTAAATGACAAAATTTAATAATCGATGTGACAGCTAAATGATTAGCAGTTACTATTTTCTGCAGTACATTAATAATTTTTCATTGCAAAAGCCATCTCAACCTGCCTATAGGAACTTTTACATGGTGGTATTTTGTGATAACTGAATTGCTGGTCCTGAATTCCACATCAAGACCATGCGTTGCAATGTAAGTCCTGTCCAAAACAAGCATGCTTGACACTGACAGAAATACTGAGGAATTTAAGTAAGTTTTTTTTTAATGCCTTACAGATGATGTACAGGCTGCAATTTTTCAGTAGTTTAGGCCTTAACTTATGTGCAGTCAATTTCTGCAAGATGCTGACGCTGCAGACAAACCTCAATCTTCTCCAATTCCAGTTAAATTTCAGCTTGGATTTTGCCCTGAACAGCAAAAAAAATTATAGATCAGACAACTCAGACATTGAACTGCCTATTCAAAGGAGCAGCAAACACTAGAGTAAGTAGACCTATCACATTAATATGCAAACACAGAGATTTAGATTTGATAGATTATGTACAACATCCCTGGGTACAATCTGACTGGACTTCATCATCTTCCTTTGCTTATGGTGCACTGCTGGCTTAAAAACTGAAGTCAGCTATCTTCAATTAGCTCACTAGCATTTAACAGGTATTAAGGATGTCTGTGTTTCCTATACAATGGCAAGCATTAAATTCCCAAGATATTATTTGCCTCTATGTGACCCACCCATATGGAAATGTCTTCAGATATGAACACTGACTATTACCTATGTTCTTTCAAATTTCCTATTTTTTTTTTTTTGTGTAGAACCTGTGGATTCAGGTGGGCACAGTGGGAACAGAAACATAATTTTTAACAGGCTTTGCAATAGATTACACAGACAGATGGAAACACAACTATTGAGAGAATTGCCACACTAC